CAAGAATCTGTTTAAAATTCAGACTTTTAATAGTGACAAATAAAAAATCCCATTTATGATGGTTTGCTTGTGAACATTCTTTATAAGTAATCTGACAGCTTGTGAATAAGATATTCTGATTTGATAGTGACCTGGTGAACTTTTTTGACCTCTTTTATGGATTTTATTAATTAGATAGTTGAAGGGCTGGCTGATTAGTTCAGTTGGTTAGAGTGCAGTGTTAATAGCACCAAGGTCAAGGGTTCGGATCACCATACTGGCCAGCTGCCAATAAAAGTAGTTGAAAAAGGGGTACTGTTTATCAGTTTAAGTTGTAGTGATCTGGAAATGTTATATAGATGGTCAATGAAAGGAAACCCTTTATTATAAGCCTTAAGTTTTTTGATGGTTCTCAAACCTTCTGGAAGGCCCTGCCCTCAGTTTCTTACTCAGCAGTTTCAGGAGGCCTGAAAATTTGCATTTCTTAACAATTTCTCCAGTGATGTTGATGGTCCAGAGACAGCACTTTGAGAACCATTGTGCCAGACTGAATAATGGAAAGGGAAGAGTGCATTGGCTTTTAGGTTGGGTTTTTTATTTTTATTTTTATTTTCAATCTAAATAACTTTTTTGCTTCTAGCTATATATATATAAATGTATTATTACGCATCAGCACTCTGGAGCTGAATTTGACTGGAGAAACTAGTCTGTTTACTAGTGGGCATTTAGTGCTGCCTCCTTCCAGTCACTCATTTTGTCTTACATCTCTTTTCTCTTCAAATCTCCAATTTTCTCATTTCTTGCTTAGCTGATAACCTTGCTTCCTGTAATCACTAAGAAAGTTTAAGGTAGATGAGAAAAGAACCTCACAAATTTCCATTACGTCCACCCTGTCATCTGTGTTTCTGACAGTGCTTGTATTCATTTTCTGCCCTCCCCTCTTGTCACTGGATGAATTTTGTTAATACCTTTCCATTTGAGCATGAAATCCCATAGCCTCTTCCCTAACCAAGCTTATGGCTCCACTAAGTCACTCTTTATCAATATTGCTTCTACCTATCCCTTCCAACAGATACAAATTGGCATCCTCTACTATTGAACCCTTCTAGAGTTCTCTACTCAACTCCCTTATAGCAAAGCTCAAAGGAATTTTTTACATGTTATTGTATCTCTTTCCTTTCCTTGAATTTTCACATTTTTTTACCTTTCCCTCCCCCCCCCCAGCTGTCTGGTACAGGATCTGAACCTGTGACCTTGGTATAATAAGGCTGTGCTCTAACCAACTGAGTTAACTGGCCAGCCCTACTTTATTTTTTATAGTTTACTTTTCTTGAATCTGCTACAATTCAGCTTTTTCTCCATGATAACCCTAAAATGAATCATTGTCAAGATTACTAGTGATTTTGTTGCTAAGTCTGATGGTCATTCTTGGTCTTCATTCTACGTGACCTCTACTAGTGACACAATTGATTTTTCTCCCTGTTTTTAACCGTCTTCCAGAACCTCACCTCAAGTTCTTTCTCCTGTATCACTGGCTACTTTTCTTGACTAGTTCATCTCTTAGACCTTTACTCTGTTTGAGGACCCTAGGGCATGGTCCTTGG